TATACCTACACTATTTTTACCTACATTGACAATTATATAGGTATAGGTATCTATGCCTACAATTTACTAATTTGTATGTATATGGTCTAAATATAGCTATATATTTATATTAATTGAAGGAAAAAATGTCTTTATCTATAAAAATGGCTTAGTGTAGGTATAAAAGAAAAACTTGGACCTGTAATTAAGATCAATTATAGATGTAATAGTAACCTGTACCTATAAATTTTCAAAAACCATAGCTATGGTTCATTAAAAAAATTATCAAATTCACAAAAGTACTAAAAGTTACACCTCAAATTTGGTCTCTCAACTATTGCACAAAACTCTCAATTTTATATCCCTTATCCTCCCCCCTCTGTTATTCTTTCTTAATTAGTCAATGCATATATATCTTACCATCATTTTATTCCTTTTTTTTCTTCTTCCTCTCTCTCCCTGGTATATAATTGGAAATGTTTTCAAATCAAAACAAAAAACGCATGACCTATTAGTATTATTCTCTTGGTACTTAATTTTTCACTTAGCTTTAGTTGACCTTTCATTAATTTTTGTTGAGTCTCCATCTCTCAACTTCCCTCTCAAATTCTATATCATTACATTTAATTCTTTACCCTACACTTTATTTTTTGTTTTATTATACTCTCATCTCTCTCATTCTTTCTTAGACCTATTATTATATATCTTATTTTGACCATTCTTTTTACTTTAACAATATATTTGTATTAGAAAATTTTTATACCAAAACATTAAAAAACACAACTTCTTAGTATTATTTTTCTACTACATTTTCACTTGCTCTCATCTCTCTCATTCTTTCTTAGACCTATTATTATATATCTTATTTTGACCATTCTTTTTACTTTAACAATATATTTGTATTAGAAAATTTTTATACCAAAACATTAAAAAACACAACTTCTTAGTATTATTTTTCTACTACTTTTTCACTTGCTTTTACTCCACTTCTATCATTATTTTTCTTGAAATTCTACACCTTAG